TTTCTCGAGTTATTGATTCTTCCTTAAGCTAACTGGAAGCTGCCTCCCTGTCTGCATGTGATGTTCATGTATGGAGTTTATTCCGGTTTCGTTTCTCGAGTTATTGATTCTTCCTTAAGCTAAGGGTTCGTTCCAGCGCGCTTGTGTTCATAGTTAACACTCATCTACGAACGGAAGAAAAGGCGTCGGATCGTTTTTCTGGGTTCTGGCGGCCACGTCGAAACTGAAATCAAATGATTTTGCTTCTTCGAGCCACTGGCCTTCCGTGACGTCCACTCGGGCTCATCCTTCTTTCCCTTTGCCGAGGTACAAGTTAACTATTTGACTGAGCTGTGTGCGTTTTTTTGTGTGTGTAACGTTCAGCTGAGTTTTTTCCGGTTTCGTTTCTCAAGTTATCGATACTTGTTGAACTTTAGTTCAATCTCTAATAATGCTGCAGTGTTTCAATGCCAGCTTTTATTTAGTCACGGTGATAAGGAATCTTCGCGGAAATCCTGCTAAGCCCAGGAAATCCTTTCTATTGCAGTGCCGTAGCAGGGTTAAAATTATTGGGGGGGCCTAACCTTCATTTTTACTGTTCTACTCTTGTGTTCAATATATATTTTTTGGAGTTTGCCAAATTATTGGGGGGGCCCGGGCCCCCCCGGCCCCTCCCCACGCTACGGCATTGTATTGTAGCCTTGATTTGTTCTGTTTGGTCAAATTACGTTTCGAAGCCTTTTCAGGTATCATTTATTCCGTGCTATTTCGTTTGAGAAGGAACATTTGCCTGTTTTTGTCATGTTTGCTTACTCTCGTCGTAAAGAAGGCATGAAGTTTGTGCAGAACCTTGACCGCACCAAAAACGCATCTGTCGATACTTCTGAATCCTCTTCGGTTCGAGTACGAGGATATCGTGACATACAGACAACTTTCGAGTCTCTCCTTTCAACAAACAGAATACTTCATCGCTTGAATATCACAAGTCCTTGGTGTACTTTCGCTTTCACAATAATAGAAGCTCTCGTAAGGGAACACTTTTGTAGCTAGCAATATCATCAACTAATTGGGATTATCTATGTAGCTGATATTGTATTCCACCACTCTTAAAGAAGAGATGAGAAAAATTCATCCACCACTCTCAGAGGGTATCCAGTCACCTCGCCACCAAGCAGACTCGCCACCAGCGAACTCGCCACCAAGGAACGATCTCGCCACCAACGTACTCGCCACCAAGCGAAGTCTTCACGCCACCAACCACCAATAAAGAGATTAGTCGAGGACAGTAGGATGTTCGGCTGATAAGTCTGTACTCAAACTTTATAAACGTATGTTGTCGAAAGCACGTTCGAAACCGATAAGTTTGTTCGCTTGTATATATTCAATAAAGTTTGTTGTTATTTTGCCGCGGGGAAACTGGGTAATATAATTCGACCGAATATTTAATAAGTTCCCTTGACAACATCACAGACGTCGAAATTTGCATACAGATAAGTAAACAAACTCTCGAGTCGATTCTTTCGAACTTATAACATCACAGACGTCGAAATTTTCATACAAATAAGCAAACAAACTCAGGAATCGATGGGTTCGAACTGTTAACTCTCCTTGGGAAACAACTGTAGTTGCCTTAGGAAAGCTTCAGTCCATCGACGCTTACAATTTCTCGCACCGACTTGACAATTTCTCGCATTTAGTTTTAATACAACTGCTATCGAGTTTCATTTCATCACTTATTTCTTCCCATGAAGTTTCATTTTCTCTCAAGTAAGTTTTTATTCCTCGCATCGAGTTTTGCAATTTCTCCTCGCTTACGTGCAAAAGACAAACACGATACGTTTCGATGTCAATGAGTTAGGAACGGAACACATCTAACACGTCGCTGAAGGTCATAATTTAAATACAGACAAGCACACAAACGTATCGGCCGATTTGAATTGTGCTCGTTCGAACATCCTACTCTCCTCGACTACTTTATTCTAGTTTATCTCTTTATTGGTGGTTGGTGGCGGGAAGACTTCGCTTGGTGGCGAGTACGTTGGTGGCGAGATCGTTCCTTGGTGGCGAGTTCGCTGGTGGCGAGTCTGCTTGGTGGCGAGGTGACCGGTAACCCTCTCAGAGATTAGAAAAATTTATCTTATTCCTAATATATCGCATAAATTACGCTAGTTTATTTATAAATGTACAATGGACACTCTATAGTTTTCCCGTGCGCGCGAACACTAGACTAAAATGAATTTGACAAGCTTCGACGTAAGGAAAGTGGAAAAACTTCGAAATATATATGGAAAAATAGGTGTGCGAAAATGAAATAAACTGAAATTTTACTTTCTTAATTTCCTTTATTTCAGCTTACAGCCTCAAGTGCTACGTTTGTGCGGGAACCGAAGAGGCCTGTAGCAAGAGCAAACTGGAAGCAGATAAGGCTAACAATTCGGTAGACTGCCCAACCGGTCAATGCATGAGGATGTGGGAAAGCAAAGGCTTTAAAACTGCAGTGCTTATCTATTGCAGCAGTAGCACCATCTGTTCAGCTATAGAAGAGGCTTGTGACGACGACGACGACGACCTCAACGTCAAAGTGGGAAAATGCCTAGTCGGGTGCTGTGACTCCGACTACTGTAACGCGGGCTCTTCATTTTCTTTCGGTGTGATCCTGATGACCGTTACCTCTGCCTTGGGTCTGGCACTATTGAAGTAGGCTGGTAAAGAAGAAGGAACCCTGGCAAGTTGATAAACGTAGTTTTTTTTTTCGTAGTGAAGTGTTCTAATTTTAAATGTGTATAAAAACCTTACAGGTTTTTAAAACAAGAAAGTAGAAAAGGAAATTCGTCGTTGGCTTTTTTATGTTTTTATTATCTGATCTCAACTTATCAAGTTTTTCGCTACTTTATGATGTTTCAACGGTCTTTTTGATATTAAATGGGTTCAATTAAGTCTGCTGGAAAGTTGTTTATGTGAGTGAAACACCTTTGAGATGGTACCCAACTGCTACTGTCGCCGCATTCAATATTATTAATTAATTCTAAATACACCAACACATACGGGAAATCTTTTACACCACAATCAAACAAGAAAAAGCTAATTGCAAATTAACAATCTCTCCGAGAAAACAATCAAGTTTTATTTATTTACTTTACGTCTCACCACAAACAAAAATGTTATTTCTTATCGCGCTTGTTTGGTGAAATTTGAATTCACTTACTGCAATAAGGAATGCGGAATAAGTTCTTCACGTTCCGTATCACGTTCCTCTGCTCTTTATCAAGTAACCGTTTTAATTACTTCCTGTCCTCTGGTTGATTATCTTTCTTCATTTTTGTTTAATCAGAGCCATTGATTTAAAATGCCTGCTAGCGTTTGATGCGTAACTTAAATCAGAAAAATCGATTGTGAAAACATTAATGATCTGAGCAGTCACTGTGGTTTTATTAGACAAACTCCTGAGGCGGAGGGGAAGGGGGTTGAATTTTGTGGTTATCCTCACTACGACTGGCAGAGGTATACCACCTGGTTCTTCAAGTAACGAACCTATTCCGATCAGAATATAGTATTTTCAAACTTGTTATCTGAACTTGCCTCTGAAATTCTACCTAGCTCTGTTGTGCGTAGGCGGAGCTGATATGCACCAGTGTCTTATGTGGAAGCCTGGCAAAAGGCCCATTTCCAACCTTGATGCAACGCCGACGCGGCGTCGTTTGTTTTTGTTTCAACCACCGCTTTTGTTTAAATAGCGCCTCTGATTGCTCAGTTATTTTTACCTAGTCACGTTGTCTCAAAATAGCTTCTGCGTTATCTCCGATGAGTTTGATGAGCTTGTCACAATAATTCTGTTTAAAACAGTTCTATACGTTCTAATCCGGTATAGAATCAGATAAATCCATTGATTTTGTAGATTCTGAGGCAGTAAATGCTTATGGATAGGTTGTTGCTAAAGAGGAAAACGAAAATCCTTGCGAGCATTCCGAAGAAGGTGTAACTGTTGATCCACCACATTTTCATACATTCATACATCAATTTTTTCTGAATTGAAGTGTGCCACCCTTGTTAAATAGGACCCAGGGTCAGTTGAAGTTTCCCGCGCTTGACACTTAGAAACTTTTGAGTGACACGGCTGGACACGGTCCTCAAATAACTCTATATTTCTCTTTGAGATGTACCCATTTTTCCTTGGAACATATTCTACCTTCATTTACAATCCTCAAGCGCTGCTAGAAAGTTAAAAAATTCGAACGTCGTCCGTTTCGCCGACCCTGTACACAGAGTACGAAGAGATCCAATCGTGACACTGATGAGATTTTCAATGGACACTACCGGACACGGTCTTCGAATAACTAAGCGTCCGGCAGTCTGACATTTTCCATATTTCTCTTTGAAAAAATCTAATTTCTATGGGAAAACATTTTATCTTTATTTAGAATCCTCACGTGCTTCTAGAAAGTGAAAAAATTCGAACGTTGTCCTTTTCACCGACTGTTCACAGAGTGCGAAGAGATCTGTCCAAGCGTGACATTTAAAGAAATTTTCTTCGGATTCTACCGGACAAAATTCAAAATATTGTGAGGAAACTGTAAAATGATTAGCGGCGAATGTATTTACTATAAAACAGTTGACTATATGTCCAGGATGGCTTTTGAGAAAGCCGATTTTCGAAGGTTTTCAGTAATCTGGGAATTTCGTGTTACAGGAAATTGGGTCTAAGGGGACGTTGTATCAAGGGTGAAAATGGGTCTTTAGATCGTAATGATGGCAGCTTACTACCTGACGCCTATTCACACCTCGTCAGGGAAAAGGGCAGCTAATTAGTGAGCATATAAAAAGACCGCTTGTTGCAGCGATTAGATCACTTCTGATGAAGGTACTCAACAGGAGTGTCGAAACGTTGGGTCTATGAATTGTAACTTCTCGGTTACATAAATTAAATCCTTAAACTAGAGTAGCATCAAACCATGTCGGGAAGAAGCATCGTAAGAAATGAATGAAACGTGCGTGACTGAGGAAGTGAAGGGAACGCACTCAAGTGAAAAAAAGAAAAATTTATGGTAAAAATTAATGAAGATGTAACCTTAGAGTGGCCGCACAAGAGCAGCATGGTGGAAAACAACAGAAGATGCAGTAGAAGTGACATAGGAATCACGACAGATCTCTAAACCATGGTTATCACTGCGTATGCCCTTCAAAGGCCACATGAGAATCAAGGCATTCTCGTTCCCAGAGCCACTCGTTATCACTTACCGTTACATGTGAGGACTCTAGGAACAAGAAAGGAATCGAGCCGGCAAGGTTCACAGAGCCGAGTATCCTTAACTTCTTTTGTTTGGGAAACTTTTAACTTTCACCTTCGATAATCCTTTCTCAGAAATTACCCTAGCTATGAAAAACACTAATCAAATGTTTAAGTCATTAAATTAAATCCTCTCTCCAACAGGTCGGACCCATTCGTGTGATGTATAGTTTGTTGTGTCATAGCTTCTTTTGGCCTGGAGAGAATGGATTCTTTTCATTGAGATGAATCGAGCTCAGAGTGTGGTTTACAACTCTGTGATGAGCTTCATCGGCTCGTATCGCTAAGATTACATCGCGCATGACTGCATCTTCCTAAGAATGAAATATATGAAATGAAATTACCGCTGTGCGGTTGAACTTAAGTATAGTTACTACATTACGTGAAACAGAGTGAAATAGGTACCACAGAATTAGATACCACTTGATACTAATTCCATTGTTTTCTCTTTTTTACTTTTGAATCATTAGCACTAAAATCAACTTGTTGTCCGCTCACTCCATCATGTGACCTACTTTAAGCCTCCAGTAGTTAATAGCCAGGCTTGGTGCAGGTCTTGTGCTCCAAACTGGAAGAGTTCCGTCATCAATACACTGCCATCAAGAAAATTATTGTTGTTACTATGTGTTCAAAATATACGGCTTCGATTTTCTTTCTCTGTATTTTAAATGTTTTGCTGACCACGATTAAATGCTAAAGCAATCATGATACCCAGCCCTCCATGACATAAAATTACTTAAATTTAATTTCTGTATAAAACGTTAAGGAAATGAAATGTTAGCACCTTTTCAAAGCTTATTCATATCAACAGAGGAAGTCAATGTTTGTTACAGCACGGTAGATTTCGTCAGTCAAAGCGAATAAAATATTAAGTTTGTCAGCCAAAGGTAACTGGAGAGGTTTCTGAGCTACAGTCGAACCTGTCACTTACATAGAATGGCAGAATGACAGGTTGACTGCTGAATACAGCTTCAACAGAGAAGAGGTCAGACACGATAAAAAAACACCACTTTGTCCTAACAGTACTAGGAAGAGAGAAAACCTGCAATGTATTGAGGACACTTCAATATTTAATTTAGAGTGCTGACATTAATTTCCGGAGATAAACATGGAATAATTTATACTTTAGAGATTATTCTTAGTCATATTTGAGACAGTTCCGTTTGAAACAGTGACCGTTTGTGACTGGTGAAAGACAATACAGGCCGATGGGACTCAGTTGCGGGTGACCACGACCGTTTAATAGAGGTGAAAATTACAATACTGAACTTTCAAAAACACCTCATAATAAGGGGAGACCGCTTAGAACAGAGCCACTTGAAACGGTTTCAACTGTACTCATTTCTACATTTAAACACATATACTTCGACAAGACAAAATGTTCTGGCCTAAAGGTGAATTATACAAAAACCGAAGCAATGTGGATTGGCTCTTCCCGTAATAACATCGAAACACCTCTAGCATTGAAATGGCGTAAAACTGTAAAAGCTTTAGGGGTTCACTTTAGTTACAATAACGAAGAATCAGTGCAAAAGAATTTCTACGATAAGCTCAAAGGAATTAAATCTCAGATACGCTTGTGGAGTTGGAGAGGCCTCTCTATGTTTGGTAAAGTTACAATTATTAAGAGTTTACTACTTCCTAAAGTTTTATACATCTCGTCAATTCTTCCTTCTCCTTTGGAGTTCATAAAGGCCCTTCAATCAATTATATATAATTTTCTTTGGAAGGGTCCTGATAAAATCGCAAGGACAGCAGTAATAAATGATGTTGAATTTGGTGGCCTAAAGGTAACTGATTTTACAACGTCAATTATGTCACTCCGACTTTCATGGATTGGAAGATTTCTAAGCGATAATTTTTATCCCTGGAAAGCGTATCTATTACATTTACTAAAACCTTTTGGTGGAGAATTTTTTCTTCATTGTGATTATAATATTAATGACTATAACATTTCCCCAATATTTTATAAGGAGATGTTACACTGGTGGTCAGATTTTCGTTCTAGATTTGATCTTGTAAGTCTACGTGAAACAATCATCTGGAACAATCATAACATTAGAGTAAACGGCAAACCTTTATTCTATTATAATTATAATAGCGCAAATATTATTCTTTTAAGCGACTTAAAATTTGATTTGAGTAACACAGAGTCCTTTAACCTTGCAAAACGTAATGGTTTAAAAGATTCCAACTTTCTGACCTGGACTGGTGTTCGTTGCGCAGTACCAAGTCGTCTAAGAATTCGATGCCACGAAATTAAGAAAGATCATGTCAGATCACTGCAATTTAAAATCGGTGATAAAATCTTTGATCCAGCACTTAGCAAGTCTAGGGATTTCTACGGTTTGCTTATATCCAGTAAGGCGACAGAGTCCAGAGGCTTCACAAAGTTGAAATCTAAATTTTCTATTGATGATGTGGAAACAAAAAAGGCCTTCTCATTAATAAGGTCCTGTATCTGCGAGACATATGTGCAATGCTTTCAATTTAAAATACTAAATGACATTTTATTCACAAATTCCCGCTTAGCTAAGATAGGTTTAATACAAAGCGATCTTTGCACTTTTTGCAATACTAGTGCGGAAACAATTGATCACTTATTCTTTTACTGTGTTTACTCACATGCATTTTGGGAAGAATTTGAATCTTATTGAATCGCTATAGCCAAAGAACAAAGGAAACTTGAGTTAAAGACTATTTTAATTGGTGTCACAGATACTAATTGTTCTTTATTTAATTACTTAATCGTTTTAGGTAAGCTACATTTATGGAATTGCCGTAGGAATAATAGTCTTCCTTTTTTCCCTTCGTATAAGGAACTAGTTAAAAGAAAATATGAAACTGAATGTCACATTGCGGCTAAGTTTAATGATAGGAAGATGCTAGAGGCTAAATGGAAACCCATTTTGAATTATAATTTAATAGATACATAGGTGTGTAAGCGAAAAAAAAAAACTGTAAAAAGTAGGGTAAGAATTGCAGTCTAAGGAAGTATTATATGGTAAGTAGAATAAGTAACGTCTTGTAGGTGGTATTGTAAGTAGTGTTCGTCTTGTTTTGTAAAGTAGTGTTCTTCATGTTGCAATTAAAAAAATAAATAAATGAAATAAAAATTAAAAAAAAAAAAACATTTAAACACATATACAACCCATAATTCCTCCATTCGCTCTGACGAGGGGTAACCCTCGAAACATCATCTTTAAAACTCTTTAAGTTGGCAAATTTACGTTATCGACTCAGTTACTAATACTTAATCCCCAACTATTTTTATTGTTTATTCCATTCATCTAGGAATATGTATGCAAAATGAAGTCAGGGTTATACCGAAATCTTGCCAATCTTGCCTAGCATTTCCTTACAAAAATAACTAAGAACAGTGTAAACAGTACGTGGGTTATAATGTGCGGTCTATGCTGTACCGCCTGTCTTTTTTGACCTTAGGAGAGCACCGTATTAAGCCCTTTTTAAAAAATTTCAAACTTCACATCCAAGCACTTGCTGAGGTGTGGAAAGGAAGGTGTTAGTCATATTTGTGAGCTACATGGCTAATGAAACAAAACAGTTTACGGTCAATTCGCAACTGCAACAAACTCGCCACCTCCAACAAACTCGCACCAAACTCTCCACTACTGAGAGTTAAATTGTCACCGATGGCGATTTGACTCATGCGTTATGTTTAGCCTCTTCTATGAAAGTAAAATCAAACGAAAGCTTAATTGTAGTAGTTTGGCGATGGTTTGATGCTGATATACCTTGTAGTAGTTTGTTGCGAAATTAGAGGTGCGAACAAATGCGGCGAAAGGAACTCAAACTTTTTGTGTAGCGTCTCAATTATGGAACGTTAACCATTTTAATGGTTAACGTTCTTCGTGATATCACGAAGACTGATCGGTCTACGTACAGGGAAACCAGATGAAACCGCATGAAACTTACATCAAATGAAAGCTAAGATGTAATAACATGTAAACACGTTCCATCAGTGAAGGCCAAAAATGTAACAATGCATAATTTATCTTTGTTTGATTTAAGAAAACATATCACTGTTTAATAATTTATTCTTTCATTTGAGAAGACATATCAAAAACTCCAGCTTTGTGCTTAATCGCGGTTCCAAACGCCAAACATCACCATGTTTCTCGATGTTTGGAACCCGTGATGAAGAACTCGCCCCTGTTTTTGACATATTACTTCTCAATTTCTGGGCTCTACAAGACACAGTTTTTATTATACAGTCAAGTTATTTAACCATACGAAAGTATTTTGAAGCCAATTCGAAGCGCTTCTCGGAGGAGGCGAGGCGTCATGGCTGACGGTCACTCATTTCGACTCTCCGGTTTTCTTTGTTTTATTCTCAGTTTAATTCTTCTATATCGCGGAAAAACGACTGATCAGGGCCAATCTCAAATGTTCCCGCGTTTAGCTGACGATTTCTTCTTGGTTCTACAAGATGATTTTGTAGTTTCAATGAACTTAAATATCTTCACAGCGTCCTGGACTAGGCGACATATTGTTTTGCCAATCCTTCGAAGAGGTTTTTCTTCGTCAAGAATCAGTTATTATCCTAACTCTGTTGCAAGTTACCAAACTATTCTTCTCCAGTTGAGCGGCGACGTAAACCCAAATCCTGGTCCAAATGGAGCCGAGCGGCACAATTTTACGGAACAGCAAAAGTCCTCTCGTCTTCTAACCTTTTATGCTAATGCACGAAGCATCGTCAACAAATCAAGCAAATTGGATTTAGCCATTGCCGCTCTGGGCTATGATATAATTGTTTTAACTGAAACTCATCTGGACAGCTCCATCCCTGACGGTGAAATCTTTCCTAGTAACTACTCGGTATTTAGGCGGGACCGAAAGCTCAATGGACGTCATGGAGGCGGGGTATTGATTGCTACGCGAGAACACATCAAAGCGGTTCCCCGTGATACTACACAGAACGATTCAGAGTTCATCTTCGTCGATCTTCTTTTCTCATACAATCGCAAAGTCACTTTGGGAGTTTTCTATCGTCCTCCCAATAACGATCCTAAGCCTTTAGAGGACTTACAAGCTGTTTTGCAAGAGTTTTCGACGAACGAGTTGATTCTTGTTGGCGATTTCAATCTTCCGGAGATTGATTGGTTGAATAACAGATTCTTGCGTCAATCTGATATTTACACACTCATGATGGACATCGTCCAAGACAATTTTTTGACACAGTTGATAAATGAACCTACCAGAGACTCGAACATCCTAGACTTAGTTCTCACTACTTCGCCCGACCTCGTAAACCATTTGGTTGTTGGAGAACCCTTTTCAGATCACAATTCTATCTCCTTCTCGTTATCTGGTATACCTTACGTCCAGCGTAAATCACAGAAGTTGTTGTATTGCTATGGTAAAGCCGACTGGGATCACTTAAGATCGCTGTTATCTTATATTCCATGGCATTGCGCCTTCTTCGACAGCGATATTAATCATAATTGGGCTTGCTGGAAAGACTTGTTATTTACAGCAGTGGATGAGTGCATTCCCAAACGCAAGAATAAAAAGAGATCCAGTGCCCCCTGGATTACACAGGAACTTATTGTTTTGTGCAAAAAGAAGAAATTATTGTATAATAGAGCTCGCAGAAAAAACAATTCAACTATTTGGGAAAAATATCGGCAACTCAACAATTCTGTTAAGAGACTTTGTAACACAGCTAGATGGTCGTATATAAAGAAACTTGCACTTGATCTACAGGAAAATGAAAACCCGAAACCTTTCTGGAATTTTGTTAAGTCCAAGAGAAGAGGCACTAATAATCTCATCTCTATAAGCGTCGATGGATGTGCTCTGACTGACGACTTCAGTATTGCTCAGAGTATGAACTCATATTTCTCTTCGGTGTTTACTACCGAAGATTATGCAAATTTTCCCACTCAAGACTGCACTGTTGACAAGAAACTTGCGAAAATTGATTGTTCTGTCAATGAGGTCAAACGCCATCTTCTGAAACTCAAGCCCAACAAGTCTCCTGGGCCTGACCATATCGCGCCGTGCATTTTTAAGTCGTGTGCTTCGGAATTAGCACCTTCGTTAACGTATATGATAAACAAATCGTTGTCTCTTGGCCTTTTGCCTGAGGAATGGAAACATGCCGACATTACTCCTCTACATAAGAAGGGTTCCAAATCTTCGAGAGAAAATTACCGCCCAATTTCCCTTACTTCAATTGCTTGTAAGATCTGTGAAAAAATTGTTTTTGATAGGATGATTAAGTTCTGGCGCGATATCGACTTTATCAATAGCAACCAATTTGGCTTTTTACGAGGAAGATCTACTACAACTCAAATGTTATCAACGTTTAATGACTGGGCGAAATCCCGTAATTCATCCACTCCTACCGATGTTGTTTTTCTGGATCTTGCCAAAGCCTTTGACAGCGTTCCTCATGAGCGACTGCTTTTAAAATTGAAATGTAGCGGCATCGACAAATGTTTACTCAACTGGCTGAGACATTTTTTGGTGGGGCGCAAACAACGTGTAGTCGTTAGGGGATCTTATTCTGATTGGTCGTGCGTTACCTCCGGAACTCCACAGGGAACCATTCTCGGGCCCCTATTGTTTTTATTGTATATTAATGACATATCTGAATTCCTATCATCTACAGTAAAATTATATGCAGACGACACGAAGATCTACAGAGAGATAATTGACCCTATAAAAGATAGTCAGCTTCTTCAGGATGATCTTAATAATCTTAGCGCATGGGCTCGTAAGTGGCAGCTACGTTTCAACGCAGACAAATGCGAATCTATGCGAATCACGCATTTACGCGATAAGTCGGTAACTAATTATTTCTTAGAAAAGCCCCTGAAAGACGTGACTAATTTTAAAGATCTCGGTGTCACACTAACTAGAGATCTTTCATGGGGCCATCACATAAGTATCACTGTCAATAAAGCGAACAAAGTTTTAGGTTCCATTAAACGCTCAGTAGGCACCGCTAACACAAATGTTTTTTCTATGCTGTACATGTCTCTGGTACGGCCAATCTTGGAATATGCGGTACCTGTTTGGTGTCCTTACCTTGTTAAGGACATCCATGCCCTTGAAAATGTACAGCGAAGAGCCTCAAGACTCGCTTTAAATCAACGCAAAGGAGAAATGTCCTATGAAGACCGATGCAAACTGTTAAAATGGCCCACTCTCTCTGACCGTAGAACTTACTTATCTTTAGTCGAATGTTATAAGATAGTTTTTGGTTTTTATCATTTAAATTTTGAAGACTTCTTTGATATTGCCACGATTCGGTCTACGAGAGCAAATCATCAATACAAACTCTATATTAAACCAGCTAGACTTAATTGTTACAAAAATTCTTTTTTTATTAGGATTGTCAAATTATGGAACGAGTTACCGGGTGATATAGTGGAAGCTGACAGCTTTCAGCATTTTAAATCTAAACTTAAATCGTACTTAAATATTTGATTGTAATGATTTTGATTTATATTTTGTCTTTTCTTTTAAGGGAGTTTTTACACAGGGATAACCTCTTAACTTCCTTTTCTAGAAGTATTTTCTTTTTAGTTTTATTTGTATATAATAGTTATCATCTGCTTCTGGAATAAATAAAGTATGTATGTATGTATGTATGTATGCAA